TTTTTTTGTTTTTTTCTTTTCTTGTTTATGGGCCTCGACTCCACCTCTGTCCATAAATACGCTTAGTCAATAACCCATATATTCAAAATGAATGACGATTTAACGCCTCAAAGGTCGTTTTAGTCCGAAATGGGTTTATAAATTCTGTTTTCTTGGCGAACAATAAACTAGACTTGACATGCTTGTTCTTTTTGTTCTGTTGTTACGCAAGGTGAAGTGACGATAGCATTAAAGAATAGTAGAGTGAACTGCTAACTGCAAGTCAATATTCCTCCCTACTTCTTTAGTGCTCATGTCATTTCCAGGAGTACATAATAGAACAAAGCGCGATTAAGCCTTTTTTTTAAATTTGTTTAATTATAAAGTTTTCGTATTCGCGAGATATTAACTTCATACTAGTTTTACTTTCAAGTTGCCTGCGTGCTATGGTGTCAGAGATCGTACGCAATAGTTTTGTTTTACAAATTGTTCTCGTCTGAACGACCTCGATAAAAACACACACCTCTTGAGGTCTCCTTATTAACTAAGTAAAAAAATCTGTGCTGCTTTAATGATGTAAGTTTTCTTTTGGTTTGCAAACAATGTTAGCCCCTTAATGATCTATCAAAACACGGTTGATGATGACGTGAGCAGTGGTAAGTTTCCTCCCGCTTTGTGCTCCTTCCTTCGTCGTTCATGTTCTCGCTCAATAACTGGCCTCTCCCAACATAAAACACTGTGGCGCTCTTTACTTTAAAGTCAATCAGACTCTTCACAATCACCGGCTTTGACTTTGCTGACAGATATTTCTTGTTCGCTACACCTCCATCTAGATATGTACGGCTAGTCTGTCTGGTGCAACGAAATATTTTGTGGCTGTACCATTCTATTGTGTTGCCTAGAGAAAGACGAATGGGATGGGGGCACAAAGCGCTGTTGACTCTGTATTAATCACGAGCAGTTGTTTTCCCTGCATGTATGTTGTTAATTAAATTTTACTTACCGCCATCTGGTGATCTGAGCACAATAAGTGGACTAGGTGGTCCTTCTCCTACGCTGTTAAACGCAGCAACTTTAACTTCATACAGTCCTCCCCTCCTTACGTTTTGTAGTTCTGCTGATAAATTGAAGGCATTCACGTTCATTTCTTGAGGGTTGCCACTATTCTGTTTCTCATACATGATGTGGTAACCTAGAATAACTCCAAGGCGATGCTCCAAGGGAAGTGGTTGCCAAGTGACGGTGAGTTTTTTGGTGTCGTTAAGAAAGCCGCTGACATTTAATGGAGGAGACGTGGGAACTAAAAATGAATCGGTACGAATTATAAAGAATGTATTTGTTAGTATAGTCCTCGAGGATTACGTCACCAAACTAACCTGTTTACCCAGGATCATTATCACGCTAAAACTATTGGCGGCGGTAGATTGGGCACAAGTAACGTGATAAAAGGCGTGTACAAAATTATGACTGTAAATCGTACTTGTAGCCAAGCATCCTGAGCGCAATACCCCTTTAAAACTAAGGCAATTTGAGTGAAAGGCGATAGGTGGGTGGAATGATAGACTTTGAAAGAATGAGGAGTGGTTCTTTTTGCATACAACACTATTCGTTTGCATTTTTTGCATGTTCTGTTCTTCATTCATGAATAGGCTAATGATAGTGCCTCTAGTTCCAGCAGAATTGTTTAGCATGTCCAAAAAACCAATATGTAGTAGTCTTGCGAAGCGTGATCATAAATTGTACAGGGCTTATATTTTCCTTTGTAGTTTTCTTCAGACTCTCACTTTCCAGCTTTACGACCTGCACTTTGTCGTAAAACAAATCGGAATATAAGATTTTTGAACAAGATAACGCGTTTCCGTTACTCACTGTCTTCTGCTGTTCTAACCAGAACTTCGTCACTTTCCTTCCCTTCTCCCTCCAGGGTGAAGGACTTCACGCTTATGGCGTACACCGCATACTTCATGAGGTCTATTAGCTCATATCCTGGTATCCTTGATGCAACCCTGACGCCGAACTTCTGTGACGAATCGTTCAAGCGATATAAAATCTCAACCCCGCAGAAAACTCCGTGAGTTAAGTCTCCGGGTTCATCCCATGAGACTGCCACCGATGTAGAGCTTGTGTTGTGTGCATAGACCTGGAGCGGCTTAATGTAGACTGTTTCAAAAGATAACCAGCAATCAGACACGCGAGTGGAAATAGAAACATTACAAAGAACAAAAACAAAAGGTGTTCTAACAGAAATTTCTGTGCTATGTCGTCACCCAAATGCGAGCAATCCATTCTTTCCAGCGACCTCTTTCCCGTACAAATTCATTTGATAAATCTCACTCTAGATCTTAAACTTGACTCTTCTGAACGTTCGTATTGTTGGTAAGATAAGTATAACTTTTACTTTTCTTCTTGCACTAATTTTTGGTTCATTGCCTTAATGGGTGATCGTTTCGTTTTAGTGCTGATGTTGTTAAAAGTAGTTGTACAATGGAGTACCCATTTCTCGAACCCTCATGTTTTCAAACCTCCCGATAACTCGTACTAAAAGTCGTTTCCCCTCTTCAGTCGAACACTGTAATCTTACCCCCGATTTCTCGAACTATCCAATTTTCGTTTCCCTTGGAGGTTCGAAAAATCGGGATTCCACTGTATACCTGGTTCTGAAAGTTTCAATGTTATTCTGTATTTCAATTTTTGAATTCGGCTAAGCATCTTCTGATAGCTTGTCCGCAGAAGCTCTCGAATGACCAAACCAAAAAGGTTATATGACTACTTTGTAGTAAGAAACTAACCGTCATTAGCTTCCATGGCAACCAGTCTAATCGGGGTACTACCCAGCATGCTTCTTGACTCGATGCTTCTTTCAAGTGGTTCGATTTGTTTGTACCCAGTCTCTTTGAATCGCACAGTGAAGTTCACTGCTACATTCGTGAGGTTCCTGAAACAATTATGCAACAAATTTTCTCGATACATTCTCAATTGTTAAAACACCTCTCGATGACCTGAGTCAATATTCAATATTCTTTTCAGATCCACTTCAGACTATGGCCCGTTTTCTCGTTGGCCAATAATTTAAGACGAGTCGGTGTATAGGGTGCAAAATAAGCCAATTGTCGAAGATGTATCACCCCGAAAGTCTCGGACCTTTGCCACCCCCCCCCCCAAAAAAAAATGTAACTTCTATGAGCTATTAAGTTAAAATGAACCTAATGCGATAATTTCATCTCTTACAATTCTTCTGTAATTTGAATTTCCTCAAAAAGCTTCACTTATCCATCGGACAAGTAAGGAATAGAATCCACTAGACCCGGGCTATCGGACACAACTTTCTTTGCACGCTGTTAACAGACAGACAGGATCGTATATAGCACAAATATTTCCCATTTTTTGTCTCATACAGTAGCCATGTCTGCACTAGGGACAGACTTATCTTATTTGTTAGTAAAAAAAGAATAAACATAATTTAGGAAACAATTTGTTGGAGTGACTATTGTGGAAATACGAAGTCTTACCAGAAAAGAAAGTTTTCCACTTGTAATGAATTATTTTCTTGGTAAAGGCTTCTGACCTAAAGAATAATAATACTTGTCAGTACTCATCAGCAAAGAATTCTCTATCCATATATAATCATTCAATAATCATTCATTGTGATTTTTTCTTACTTATGATCTATTGCTGATGTCATTAACATTGTTTTTTGTTCCTTTATTATATAAAACAAGTAGATTCCATGTTGCGGTGAGTCTGTTCAGTAATAACTTCTTGAAGTAAATAATTTTGTCTCACACTTTAGGAGCGAATGCAAAGGGGTAGAGAACCTTCCTGAATCGAAAGGATGCTCATCGTGTCTGGATTAAGCGCAGTGCATGATCCAAATTCAGAAGCACACATAAGGTACATTCACTTATACATTTATAACCGTCCTTCTTTGTTAATGAGTATTTGTTTATCTAATGGGCAAATAGCTGAAACAATCTTTTGATTAATTGTGGACCTCAAATTTCAAGTCGTTCTTCTCACGGGCCTCGTAAAAATAGAGAACTATTTTGCTTCTTTTAGTTAAAGCAGATTTCGATAATTCCAGGGATTTCCTGAGGAATATTGTCTTGATGTCTGTCAAAATTGACATGCACAAATCGAGATTTGTAAAATATACATTTTAAGAAATAAAGTAATAATGGAACCAAAACCAAAAATTTCTGTGAAGTCTATGGGAACACAAGAGCGACCTCAAAGGTGAGCTACCTAGAAAATTCCCAAGAATTTTTTCTAGTTCTCAAGAGATCCCAGGTGTCATTCCGGTCTAAGAATTAACTGCGTATACTGACTTTCAGCAGAGATCTTGTAAAATTGTTGTTGTTGTTGTTGTTGTTGTT